CTAGAATTTATGGATTATGAGTGAAGGATCAATAGTTGGACTCTATGTTTAATTATGTAAATTGAGTAATAAGAAGTTATATTAGATTTGTTTGCCTGTTATCAAATGCACCAGAAGTGTCATGGCATGCTAGGCAACGTTAGTTTTCACAGGTTATCTAATTGAATGTTGTTTCAAACTATGATCAGTTTTTTTTCTTTTTTTTTCGTAAGTTGTGTTTGAGCATGAACCATTAATAATATTTAAAGTTTCCTGGTATATTAATTATGGAGTGGGGTTGAGATTTATTTAGTTGTGTTTGAGTGAAAAGGGCTGTTTTAATATGGGTCAATGCGGTTTCCGGATAGTTTTAAATAATTGGCTTTTAATTGTTCATGCACAAATGTTTGGATTCTGAGACCTGGGCCTAATACTGGCCCAATCAATGGAAAATAATGGTCAGTCAGAGTACGTGTGGCATCCATGTTTGTTAAGGAAATCAGGCTCATGTCAGCACTTCATTAATTTGATATTTTGTGTGCCTGGGGGTTCGATCTCGAATCCCACCCCTGCTTGACGCTCAGCCCTTAGAACCTTGGGGCTCTCATTGGGTCGGATTGGGAAACAAGCCGAGTTTCTCTATATATAGGGCTATGTTTTCGAGCCCAATATTCTGTTCTCATTCGTCTGCTATATACTCATCTCGTGCGGCACTGGTTTATTGGTTTTAAAATTGGTTCAAACGTTTAGCCTAAAATTAGTGACAATCTTTCCTGCTCCTTTAATAGTTAGTGGAGGTGTGCTATATTAGACAAGACGAATTTTTTGGCCCTCATAATTTAATTTAGAGACCTCTTGGTTAGAATAAATCGAGGTGTGCCGTGCAAAATAAATTTCAATCGCATGGCCCTCGTTTAATTAATATTGTTTATCCTTAGAACTCGCGGCGTGCCATTTAGCGAATTTCCATGGCCCTCGCAAAGTTAAAAATGCGTAGTTGCTTTAGGCGCGTAATTTATAATTACCTTCCTAAGCTCGGGTGTGCATTTCATGTGACCCAAATCCAAATCTTAACAACGTTAAATAAAATGTGTCTCGGACTGCGGGTGCATTTCATGTGGCGCGGTCCAAAGACGTATTTTAGATGACGTTGAAATCTCCCTTAAAATAATTAAAAGCAGTTTTAAAGTTAAAATGCACATAGGTTTAAAAGTGTTTTAAAATCGGATAATTAGGCCAATAATAACAGTTGAGCGACTGTGCTAGAACCACGAAACTCGGGAATGCCTAACACCTTCTCCCGGGTTAACATAATTCCTTACCCGGATTTCTGTGTTCGCGGACTGTAAAACAGAGTCAATTTTTCCTCGATTCGGGATTTTACACCAGTGACTTGGGACACCATAAACTATCCCAAGTGGCGACTCTGAATCTTTAAATAAATAAATCCCGTTTCGATTGTCACTTTAAGTTGAAAATAACTCCCTTGTATACCCTTGCGGGGGTGTAGTAAAAAAGGAGGTGTGACAATCGGATAATTATGTAATTTGTGCATTAGTTACTTTTAGTCAATTAGTGCAAGTGTATTAATACTGTAGTTGTAGCTTTACAATCAATAAGTATTCATTCTCAGCTCAACTGCTCTTCTCTCTTCTTGCTGTGACTAGCTCAAGCATGAGTGCTCTCATGGCTGCCCTTTGACATGGTATCAGAGCTATCAGAGAAGATCTGAATATGTTTCTCAAGTGCTCAATTACAAAGCTAGAGCTCAGTTTGAAGATAATTGATCTCAAAATTTTGGCATTTGCGATCTGTTTTTTTTGCAATTAGGTTTTCTTCGATTCAGCAATGGGGGAAAACAAAATAGATCATACACATCCGTTATTCGTGCATCCATCATATACTCCAAGCTCAATGCTAATTCTGGTTAAGCTCAATGGATCCGAGAACTATGGCTTGTGGCGGAGATCGATGAGGATTGCACTCCAAGCCAAGCGAAAGCCAGGGTTTATTACGGGTAAATATACCAAGGCTTCATTTCCGACAGTATTGCATGAGGATTGGGAAACCTGTAATGCCGTAGTCCTTTCATAAATGATGAATATTGTATCACTAGATCTACTAAGTGGTATAGTGTATACATCAAATACACATGCAGTGTGGGAGGTGATCTTCTAGAAAGGTTTGACAAAGTCAATCGCATGAGGATCTATCGGCTACATAGGAAAATTGCAACAATATCTCAGGGTACTGATTCTGTTTTTACATATTTCACGAAATTGAAGAAGTTGTGGGGAGAATTTGATGCTAATAGTACCACCTTCAAACTTTGTTAAGGACTATGTTAAGCACCTAAGTCAGCAGAGGTTGCTTCAATTCTTAGGAGGTCTGAGTGAGTCGTATAGTCAGGCAAGATTTCAAATTCTCACAAAATATACTAAACCTACCCTAAATTAAGTGTATGTCATGGTTATTGAGGATGAGACTCAAAGAGGTTCGTCAGGGCAAAATTTTACAGGTCTCAATTCACTATTTTAGGGCAATGATATTACTGCTCTTTGGAGTGCCAAAGGACCTCAGATGCAGAAACCTAGAAGGAACTTCAATATACAGTGTGAGTTTTGTAAAATGAAAGGACACAACAAAGAGCACAACTACCAGTTGATTGGATGTCCAGCAGATTTCAAAGGCAGGAGGAAGCATGGATTCTGCATATTTTGGCAATTCTGCATATTTTGGTAATTCTACAACATAACATCAAAGCATGGGAAACAACCTAGGGAATGGGAACAGGGGTCATGGAGTTACACGACCGTTAGGTCTTGATGGTGATCATAACAAAGCAGGGTACACAGGATTGACTGCTAGCTACGAAGGTACAGATAGAAATGGACCACATGCATATGCAGCTGGATTGAAGATTTTATTTACCCGGGAACAGTATGACTAAATTCTGAAAATGCTTCAGAAGGATAATGCACCTGAACCAATAGTTAATGCAGCAGGTACAACTAGTCCTTTTATGATTGCAAATGCAGCTAGTGTAACTAATTCTACTGAAAGTAAAGTGAGGGATGATAAGTGGATAGTAGATACAGGTGCAACGGACCATATGGTTTCAAATACTAAAATGATTTCTGATCCTAAAGATCAGACTAAATGTGATGGTGGAAAAGTTCATTTTCCAAATGGTGATAGCTTGGCCATTTCTTATATAGGAAGTTCCAAGTTAGATCAAGGAGTCATATCCAATGTACTATGTATCCCAGGCTTTAAGTATAATCTACTGTTAGTGTCAAAACTGACTAGGGAATTGAATTGTTGCATGTTATTCTTTCCTGATTTTTGTCTTCTGCAGGACCTTCACGCTAGGAAGGTGAATGGGACTGGTAGGTTGAAGGAGATCTCTACTATTGGCCTCACAATGACAAAGACAGGGTACAAGCTTCAGCAGTACTGTGTGTGACTAATGAAGAAGAGTTATGTCATAGGAGACTTGGACACATACCACATAAAGTTCTACAACAAATGCATATAGTAAAGCACAATAAGTTGCATAGCAACACTGTTTTCCCTATTTACCCTCTGGCAAAGCAAACAAGATTTCCTTTTCCACAAAGTACTAGTAGAGCTTCTAAAGCATTTGATTTGATACATGGTGATGTATGGGGTCCTTATAATACCCCTACCTATGATGGGAATAGATATTTTCTCACTTTGTTGGATGACTATAGTAGGATGGTTTGGATATTTTCTCTTAAGCTCAAAAGTGATGTACCTATTGTAATAAAGGATTTCATGACTCTTATAAAGACTCAGTTTAATAGTGCAATAAAGGTGTTCAGTTCAGATAATGGGACACAATTTTTTAATTATCATTGCACAGACTTGTTTAAGATTGCAAGTGTTGTTCATCAAAGATCCTTTGTCTACACACCCTAGCAGAATGGGGTGGTGGAGAGGAAGCACATGCAGATCCTTGATTTTGCTAGAGCTATCAAGTTTCTGGGAAGTATTCCTCTGAAATGATGGGGCCTTTGTGTGCAAAATGCAGTCTATTTGATTAATAGAATACCATCCACCGCACTTATAGGGAAGACTCCTTTTGAAGTATTCTATGGCAAACCACCTAAGTTGCAGCATCTCAGGGTGTTAGGAAGCTTATGTTATGCCGCCGGCACAGATGGAAGTGACAAATTTGGAGTTAGAGCAGAGCCTTCAGTGCATATGGGGTATTATTCTACTTAGGAGGGTTATCAGTTATACAATCTTACTAATAAGACTTTTTTTGTGTGCAGAGAAGTGTCTTTCAAGGAGTACATATTTCCTTTCAAGACAGCAGCATCTACAACTAAGGAGCCTGTTGTTGAGCAGTTTGTTGATGGTGATGATGCCTTCATCATGGATCCCAATCCAGAAGATTCAGAGGCAGTTCTTGATTTAGATGGTTCAACTCCTCCATCTCCTGAATCTCCTACTGCAACTCCTGAGGCCTTAGAGCACCATGCCCCTTTTCACGAAGAAGTGGTGGTTCCTCTCACACATGTGGAACCCTCACTTGACATGCAAGAAAAGGGTCCAAAGAAGTCTACTAGAATTTTTAAACCACCTGACTGGCTGAATGATTTTGTACATGGAATGCCAAGAATTGGTCCTTCAACTACTCTTGGATCTAGCTATCCTATATCTACCTACATGTCTTATGCCTCACTGTCCCCACATTATTTTAAGGCACTGTGTAACTTCTCAACTATTGCAGAACCAACTTCCTATGCTAAAGCTCTTCAAGATCCAAAATGGATAGTTGCAATAGATCAAGAGTTGCAGGCTTTGCAGGACAACCACACTGGAGTTTGGTTCCCTTACCAGCTGACAAAAGGGCTATAGGGTGTAAAGGGGTATATAAGGTGAAATACAATGTCAAAGAGGAGGTAGAAAGGTATAAGACTCATTTGGTAGCCAAAGAATACACACAACATGAGGGTCTTGACTATCAAGAGACCTTCTCTCATGTGGTAAAAATGGTCACAGTGAGAGCTGTGCTATCCTTCGCTGCCATGAATGGTTGGAAGCTGCACCAAATGAATGTCTTTAATACTTTCCTTTAAGGTGATCTGATGGAAGAAGTGTATATGACTCCACCTCCTGGTCTTTTAGGTGAAGGGGAGCCTCCAAGGATTTGTAAGCTTCAGAAATCATTTTATGACAAAAAACAGCATCTAGATAGTGGAATTTGAAGCTTAGTGGGCCTTATCATCCTCAGGTTTTCTGCAGAGTCGTCATGACTACTCACTCTTTAGCAAGAGGTCTGGTTCTGACTTAGTCATCATCGTTATCTATGTATATGACCTCTTAATCACTGGCTCCTCTTCTCAATTGATTCAGGAGGCTAAGACTATGCTCCAACATCACTTTAAGATCAAGGACCTGGGGAAGATGAGATACTTCCTTGGTCTTGAAATTGCTAGGAGTAGGCATGGAATTCTAGTATGTCAGATTATGTTTACTCTTGACCTCATCACTGAACTTGTCCTTGAAGGATCCAAGCCAGCTTACACACCTTGAGACACAAGTCAAAGGCTCACTAGTGCAGAGTATGACCAGACGAACTCACATGGCAATCTGAATGTTGATGAGTTGCTAAGTGATCCTAATAGCTATCAGAGAATAGTTGGAAAACTGTTGTACCTAGCTATGACAAGTCCAGATATCAACTATGATGTTCAGAACTTAAGACAATTCATGCATAAGCTAAAGAGGTCATACTTGGAAGGAGCATTGAAGGTTGTGAGATATTTGAAGAATGCATCAGGATTGGGAATTTTGTTGTCTTCCAAACCATCTAAACAACTCACAGTCCACTGTGATGCAGATTGGGCCACATGTCCAATGACTAGGAAATTAGTAAGTGGATTTGTGGTAAAGCTGGGTGATTCTCTTATCTCTTATAAATCAAAGAAACAAGTACAACGTCAAGGAGCTCTACAGAAGCAGAGTACAGGAGTATGGCTAATGCAATAGAAGAAATAGCTTGGTTGGAAGGATTGTTCAAGGAGTTGAATGTGGGCTTGAAGCTCTCAGTGAAGCAGTATTGTGACAGTAAAGCAGTAATTCAAATTGCTGCAAATCCCATTTATCATGAAAGGACCAAGCATATCGAGATAGATTGTTATTTCATTCGAGAAAAAATACAGTTAGGCCTCATCCAAATAACACACATTTCCATAGACTTGCAGATATCATATGTGTTAACTAAAGCACTGGGGAAGGCACAACACGACTTTCTATTGTCCAAGCTGAGAGTGTTCAACTTGTTCACACTATACAGCTTGAGGGAGAGTATTGAGGATATAGACTCTATGTCAGTTAAGTTGTTACAATGTTAGTTAGGGAATAATTATGTAATTTGTGCATTAATTAGTTTTAGTCGGTTAGTGAAAGTGTATTAATACTGTAGCTGTAGCATTACAATCAATGGGACAGTATTCATTCTCAACTTAACTGCTCTTCTTCTCTCTTCCAGCTGCGACTAGCTCAAGCATGAGAGCTCTCATGGTTGCCCTTTGAAAAAAAATCCCCATCACAGATCTTGCCTGGTTCAACCTTTATTTTGTCTTTGTATTCTTTAGTGATGTTCACGTGCTTTTCATTTCCACGGCTCTCCTCTTTCTGCTCAATTGAAGAAATTATTATCCATAAGGCCCTTCTTGTGCCAATGGCATTCTTGCAAGACACAGAAAGAATATTCCGTTCCTCCACTGTCAGCTCCTCAATACTATTGTCTTTGAAACCTTCTCCATAAACTACACCATTTCCTCGATCATACTGCTCAACCTGCTCAGTCAGCTTAGCCATGTACACGTTTTCTTCATGAGTTGACTCGGTCATGTTTAAAGTAGCACCTGATTTAACAAAGTTTAAGGTAACTAAAAGCCATACAAGAAAGTCAACAAAGGTGGCAACTAGACACAACTAAACTAAACTTTCCAAAACTAACTCATCTATCCTCGTGGTTAGTATATTTTCGACAAAATTCCACTTAAGCCCCTATAAAATATTTGGGTTCACACTTAGTGGCACATGAGATATTGCCGGAACAACTAACTTTTCCTAACGTGAAAAAGACTACATTACTTTTTATTAGGAATATAAAAAATTATCCGTCTAATTCCATTTTGTTGCCTCGTCCATCCACTCAAATCACAATCCCTCATCCTCAAAGACCACGAATTGCAATACTGCTATCCATGCTCCACTCCTTGAGACCTCCAAAATATCTCACTCACTTTTCCTCATATCCCTACACAATTTTGTTCTGGTCATGGGATTCAGTTCCTTCATATATTGTTTATTGGACATAAGCTATAAATATTTAGTGGCCATAAGCTATAAATATCAACTATAAAATAGAAAAGCTCAGCAAATATTACAAGTCAAATGTAATTGTTTGGAAGTAAAATAGTGTGCTGTCAACAAACACGTTTCACCTTTTACAGTAGAAAAATCACTCATCCTAAAGTATTTGATTACTACAATGCATCTTTGTGTAAAACAAGCATTTTTCTCCAAACCCTATTGGGTTAACGACACTCGCTAGTTGCTAGATCAACTGCTTCCTGCTTCTTTTAACTATGTTAGTGCAGATGATACAGAATAGGTTTTTTCGGAACTAATAAGTGAATCACATATAAGCTATATTTGATGATTCAGCACGCACATGGATGCAACCAAATTTGGTTAGAAATGTAACAAGGCAAAATTCCCAACAAACTCAATAAATGATTGGAGCTACTGCTGCGGGAGGAGTGGACTAGAACTATTAGATTTTAAGAAACTTCATCTAGAGAGGTCAACTGTACTAGCTTTAGAGCATTGTTGTTCCAAAGCTTATACCACGACGTATCTTAACGAATCAAAAACATATCCTTACTATATATCAACAAACATCCATTTTACTATTTTATGTCATGAAAAATTCTTTCGTGCATAGACTGAAAGCATCCGAATTAACTCCCGGTAACAATCTTCACATGTCCGCTAAAGATTCGATCAAATACTGAATGTATCAATATAGGCCAGGACATTGAAACATTATTAAAGATGAAGCAGAGGAGCTAGCATGTTTTCCTCTCGATGCACGTTAAGCGAGTCTTGCTAATGTGCATGAGTAGTGTGAAAATGCCGGCCACCAATACCTTACCATCACCGGTGACTTTGGTTATAGCAACACCAGCGAATACAATACAATCAAAAGTAAGACCACTCACTTTTGGTAGCTTCCTACTGCTAAAATTTCAACCCGTACGTGAGGAGCAAGAAGATGAGGAGAAGAGTGAGAATCATCTCAATCCAATTGGGAAGCGTGCTGCGAGAAGAACGGGGTTAGAGGTTCCCCGCCGACTTCAATTATCTGACCTAGCTAAGTCCATAGTACCAATTCCTGATGTTGCAAAAGGCCCTGCAATAGAGGAACTGAAATCTCCACCAACGGAGGAGAAACCCTACCAGAGGAATCAAAGCTCACGAAGTGGGTAAGGCTCATTCCTCCAGATTTGCATGGTGATACATTTGTAGTTACGATTGTTGAGGAGGATATTAAGGAACAATAGGAATATTGGGGTACTTCTCTTATAGGGTATGTTCTGGGTGATACTCTATTTTTCAAATCTATGGAGAATTATGTGGAGAAATTGTGGAATTTTGTTATCAAACCCAAAATCCTATATCATGACGACGACTATTACATATTCAGGTTTGATTCTGCGAGTGACAGGGATCGAGTCTTGCAATATGGTCTTTACACATTCCATAACAAGCCTTTCATCTTGAAGAATTGGTCGATTGATTTTATGTTTGATCCTGAATGTCTAACTATAATTCCTTTATAGGTGAGATCTCCTAGTTTACTTATTGGCTATTGGTCTACAGAAGCTTTGAGTAAGCTGGCTAGTGTGGTGGGTAAAACTATGTACGCTGACCTGTTTACAACAGAGATGGATCATATATCATAGGCTAGAGTACTAGTAGAGAAAGTCATATCTCACCCCATGCCAAATGCTCTTGAACTCCATACTCCAGCAGGGCCACCAGAGTATAGAGTATGATTGGAAGCCAAAGTATTGTACTGATTGTGCTAAAGTCAGTCACACTACTGAGGAATACAGACAGAGGGAGACCCAAGAGGAAATGATAGTTTTGTTGAGCAAACAAGGAAGAATAGAAGAGGTAGGAAGAGGAGGAGGGTGGTGACTAAATAGGTGGCAAAGAACCAGATTAGCACTACTACTGATCCAACAACTTCTAAAACACAGGAAAACGCCGCTGAACCACAGGAGACTAATGCTACATTGGAAGAGGAGGAATTCCCAATGTTAGCAGCACCTGTGAGGAAAGAAGGGTCAAAAGGTCAAGGTAAAAGAATTGCTGATAGTGGAATGAATAATTAGTAACAACAAAATATAGCTAGCTGTTCCACTAGCCAGTGGGGAACTACCAATAGATTTGTGGTACTGACTCAAGGACATACCTCACCTGATATAGGGGAGGGCGGTATAGACCACCTTAAACCTCCATGATTATAAGTACTTGGAACATTAGAGAGCTTAATAGGCCCTTTAAATAGAAGGAGATGACTCTCTTTCTGAAGAAATACAAAATAGAAGTAATGGGGATAGTTGAGACAAGAGTAATAGTAAATAAAGCTAGGAAGATCATACAAAAGATAGCTAAGGACTGGCAAGCCAAATACAACTATGATCATGCTTATAATGGTCGTATTTGGCTACTATGAAAACCTCATATACAACTTCAGATATTAGAGGTAAATTCTCAGTTCATCCATTGTGTAGTGGAGGACTCCACTTGCCAAACAAGGTTGCTTCTCACTGTGATTTATGCAAGTAATGACTTGATACAGAGACAACAATTATGGGATAAACTTGCTTCTATAGGATCTCATATTACATCTGAATGGCTGGTATGCAGTGATTTAAACAATGTGCTTCACACAGAGAATAGGATTGGGCCCTCTGTCACACAGGCAAAGACCCAGGGCTTCAAAGAACTATTCGATCGACTGTAATTTACTCCCTTAAAATTACAGGATGGTATTACACATGGTGTAAAAAGAGATGATAATGCAAGAGTATACAGCAAGATTGACTGGGCCTTTGGAAATTACAATTGGCTGATGAACTATGGCCATATGTAAGTAGAGTATTTGAATCTTGGAGTTTCAGACCATTCTCCAATCTTGCTAAAATGCAACTTTGTAGTACAACAATAGAAATTGAATCCTAGACCCTTCAAGTTATATCAAACAGTATTACATCACCCAGATTTTGCAGGGATTGTGAAAGAAGTGTGGACACAGGATTACAGAGATGCAGGGATGTCCAGAACATGGCAGAAACTTAAGAGGTTAAAGGAGGCACTGAGGGATCTAAACACATACATGGTCTCCTATCAACAAAAGCTGAATCAAGCCAAGAAGAAATTGGAATTAGCACAATCCAATATCTCCCTATAACCATTATGCCAGATCTTTATAGAACAGGAAAGCAACTTTAATAGAAGTGGAAAGTTTGAGCAATATGGAGGAACATGTTCTAAGGCAGAAATCTCAAGCCACATGGATACAATATGGAAATGCTAATACAAGATAGTTCCATGCTCAGTGGAAGATGCGCACTAGTGCTAATACAATTAACTCTATACATAATATAATTATGTAGGCATCAAGATCACAAAACCAAAGCAGGTAGAAGAACAATTCCTCACTTTCTTTAAAAAGCTGATGGGAGAGTCATCACACATTCTCCCTTGCCCCAATTCTGAGATGATTAAGAAAGGGTCATGCCTGACAAGAACACAACAACTTGAGTTGATCAAGGAAGTCACAATAGAGGAAATATTTACTACTTTTAAAAGCATGCCAACTGACAAAGCACCAGGTATTGATAGATTTTTAATTAAATTCTTCACACAACACTAGGATGAGGTAAAAGGTGATGTGCTTGCTGATGTACTAGCATTCTTTAAAACAGGAAAAATGAACAAGGCCATAAATTGTACTACTATCACTCTGATTAAAGTCCCCAACCCCACTCAGGTTAAGGACTATAGGCCTATAGCATGCTGCACAACCATGTACAAGATCATTACTAAAGTGATCACTGGGAGACCCAAGAAAGTGATAGGTCATCTAGTTGGAGGACCTCAATCAGCTTTCATTAAAGGAAGGAGTATCAATGATAATATATTGTTCACTCATGAACTATTCAAAGGCTTTAACAAGAAGGGAATTTTAGTAAGGTGTGTACTTAAGGTTGACCTTAGGAAGGCATATGACACATTGGATTGGTATTTTCTGAAAAGACTTCTGATTGAACTGGGATTCCCACATAAGTTTATCAAGTGGATAATGGAATGCATAACAACTGTCACTTATTCCTTAGCACTGAATGTGGGCCTCAATAAACCTTTCAAAGGCCAAAGAGGAATAAGGCAAGGTGACCTTATGTCACCTTACCTATTTGTGCTTGCTATGGAATATCTACGGAGGGAATTTGATCATTTGGCCTTGAACAAGGAGTTTCATTTCCATCCTAGATTCAACATAATGGGAGTGGTCCACGTTTGTTTTGGTGATGATTTGTTGATGTTTTATAGGGCAGACCTCCTTTCTATTAGGCTGCTTCAGCAGGCTTTTATGAAGTTCTCAAAGGCCTTAGGACCACAGGCAAATGTAGATAAGAGCTCCATTTACCATGTTGGCATTTTTGCAACTCTGAAAGAGGACATTTTGCACGAGCTGGGATATAATGAGGGCACATTGCCATTCAAATATTTGGGCGTGCCACTAGCATCAAGACAAATGTCAATTAACC